CCTAACCCTAACCCTACCCTGGGGCCCACCCCTAACCCTAATATAGGCCTAAGGTTCCATTGAAAATAGGGCGATTTCAAAAAAGCCGCCCTGGAGTAGCTTTTTCTGCACAGCTCATCATTTCTACCCATTCTAAACAGATTCCAACCATCAAAACCATGCCAGGGCACCTCGTTTTCCTAACCCTAACCCTAACCTGGGGAATAACCCTAACCCTAATATAGGGCTAAAATTCCATAGAAAATAGGACAATTTTGAAAAAGCCGTCCTGGATTAGGTTTTTCTGCACAGCTCATCCTTTCTGCCCATTGTAAACACATTCCAACCATCGAAACCATGCCAGGACACCTCGTTTTCCTAACCCTAACCCTACCCTGGGGAGCACCCCCAACCCTAATATAGGGATAAAGTTGCATTGAAAAGGGGGCGATTTTGAAAAAGCCGTCCTGGAGTAGCTTTTCCTGCACAGCTCATCCTTTCTGCCCATTCTAAACACAGTCCAACCATCAAAATCATGCCAGGACACCTCGCTTTTGTAACCCGAACCCAGTGATGGTTAAAATTTCAGAGATCGAGTTCTCAACCTGCAGCCCAAAGCCTACTAGTTTATCGCAAGGCGCCAACACTGCAATAAAACCTGAAAACTGTGGTTTTAGTTTAGAAAAAACTCCCAGCCAGTCCAAGCAAATATATAGATATCCTTGGCAACGCACTGACCGGCCATGCGAAAGCTTGGACTGGTCGCGGCTAATGTGTGGCGGCTTGTGACGGCATCGCCTGGCGCTGCTACTCCTTTCCCCGCATGCGCACGGCCCCTTGTGTGCTGTGATCCGGTGCTCGGCTGCTGGGGCGATGCTGGGGGGACCTGGCTTGTGTGCCGGCAGAGAGGGCTCTGCGTATCCCCTGTGGCACATGTGCCATAGGTTCGCCACCACTGACACTGCTGATCTGGGGACCCAGCTAACTCGTATTTTCTTTCAGTGTGGCGAAATCAACTCAGGCTGGCCTTTTCAGGAGATCCAGTTGTCTTGAATAGGTCTTGAATAATTAGGTCGAAGCACAATTTGGCAAGCAGCCCTCTGGCTCTGCCTCGAAATGTTCCTAAATTCAGGGGTCGGTGAGATGGCTGCAAAGATGTCACGACCATGTTGACTCAGCCTTTAAAATGTGTAGGGCATTAGCTCTTCTCAAGCCTGGTGCCCTCCAGAAATGCCGAGGCATGCTGGGAGTTGTAGTCCAAGCCATCCAGGTAGGGGAAGGCTGTCAAGGGAGACAACGTGCCACCTGGAGCAGGGAGGGCTTGCCTGTTCTGAGGAAGGCCCTGGCACCACCTGGTGGGTGGCCAGGGAAGCACACCCTGGAGGGCGGCCTGCCGTTCCCGTGCTCCTGGCCCTGGGGCCCCTCCAGGCTGCCCCCCCCAACAGCCGCCGGTGTCCTTGGACGCGCATGGGCCCAGGCCTGGCCTCCCTGAAGCAGCCCTGGTGGGACGGGTCCCGGACGCGCGGAGGCCTGTCCCGTCCCGTCCCCCAGCCTGGGCACTCGCCTGGCACCTTGTGGAGCGTGGGGCAGCCAGGCCTCCGGCCGGGGACGGGTCTTCTGCCACGCACCGCCCGCCGGGAGGAATCACAGCGCCCGCTCTGCCAGCTGCTGCGGATACGGCCCCTCCGGACGAGGTCCGGCGCCCGGGGCAGTTCAGTGCCGGGGCTCTGGCTCGGTGCGGCTGCTCACGCTCTGCCCCCCGCCCTGCCCGCAGCAGCCGAGGAAGAAGCAGCGGCGCAGCTCGTCCCAGGAGACCGCGGAGGACAAGCCGTGGGGAGGCGGCTCCGTCTCGCTGCAGAGCTTCCCCCCGGAGCTGGTGGGTGGACCCGCCGCCCGTCCCGGGGCTTCCCAGGAGGGCCTCCCCGGCGCCCCCTCCCCGGCCTGGGGCCCGCGGCAGCGCCCCTCCTTCCTGACCGGGGGCGATGGAGGCCGGGCGCCCGGCGGAGGGGGCTGGCCGGGCCGCAGCCGCTGATGAGCCCCCCTCCGCCCCCAGCTGTGCTGCATCATCTCCTTCCTGCCCGTGAGGGACGTGGTGGCCCTGGGCCAGGTCTGCCGGTACTTCCGCGAGGTGTGCGACAGCGAGGGGGTCTGGCAGCGGATCTGCCGTCGCCTGTCCCCTCGGCTGCGGGAGGAGCACTCGGGGGGCCACCGGCCCTGGAAGAGAGCGGCGGTCCTCAACTGTCAGTACAGCCCCGGGCAGGACAGCGCCGGAGGGGGAGGCGCGGGTGGAGGGCCCCTGCAGGGGAGCCCGATTTGCCCCCGAGGCGGTGGCGCTGGGCCCGTGGGCGAGGCAGGGCCTTCCTCCCCACCCCCGAGGAAGGGGGGCTCTTTTGGATCCAGCACCTCCAGACAGACCACCTCCCCTGCCCTGGGGTCTCTCTGTCCCACAGACACCAAGGGCTTGTACTTCCAGATGTTCAGTGGCCGCCGGCATTTCGTCAGCAAGACGGTTGCCCCGCTGCTCTCGCACGGCTACCGGAAGTTCTTGCCCACCAAGGACCACGTCTTCATCCTGGACTACAACGGCACCCTCTTCTTCCTCAAGAACGCCCTGCTCTCCTCCACCATGGGCCACGTCCAGTGGCGCCGGGCCTGCCGTTACGTGGTGCTGTGCCGCAGCGCGAAGGACGTACGTTCCCCCGAGGGGGCAGCCCCTGTGGCGCCGGGCCAGCGAGAGGGCGGGACGGAGCCCCCTCCTGGCTCTCGGCTGCCACGGCCTCCCCCTCGCCCCCCTCAGCCCAGAAGGAGTCGGTGCCCGGCACTCGCGTTCCCATTCCCCGGCCCCCAAGGCATCCGGCCATGATCCGAAAAGAGCAAGCCAGAGTCTTGTGCCGCCTGGCAGTCAAGGGCTGACGCACCCGGGGGCCGGGCTGCGCCCCTCCGGCAGCTGCGTGATGTGGGTGGCGCCCCCCACAAACTGCCACGGACGCCTTGCCGCCTTTCCTGCACGGGGCTAGCATGGCCACCCCCCGGCAGTCCTAGGAGGGCGACGCCAGGCGGGGGTCCCCGGCCTCCGCCTGCCCGGGGAGGGCTCCTCCAGAGGCGGCCCTGGCCGAGGGGCTGCAGCGCCCTGACGCGAGTGCCCCCCCCCGCCTGCAGTTTGCCACGGACCCCCGGAGCGACACCGTGTACCGCAAGTACCTGTACGTGCTCGCCAGCCGGGAGCAGCCGAGCGCCGCCGCCGCCGCCGCCGGGCGCGCCGAGGGCACGGGCACAGCCGCCGGCAGCCGCCCCTGTGACTGCGTGGAGGTCTACCTGCAGTCCAGCGGGCAGCGGGTGTTCAAGATGACCTTCCACTCCTCCATGAAGTTCCAGCAGATCGTCCTGGTGGGGCCGGAGACCCAGCGGTCCCTCCTGCTGCTGACGGGTGAGCGGCGCCCGCGCCACCGGCGGGCAGGGCCTGAGGGTCAGCCATGGCCGCGGCTTCCTGCCCCGCGGCGCCCACGCGCAGCCCTCTCGGGGCCGGTCCTCCCTGGGCGTGTGGGAATGCCGGGGCGCCCGGGCGGAGAAGGCGGCGCAAGCAGAGGGCGTCCTTCGGAGACGGGCATCGCGGGCCCCGGAGCCGTGCGCCCCGGTCCGTGCCGGCAGAGCGGAGGCCGCCTTGCCCGTCCCCGCCGAGCGGGCTCCCCGGCAGCAGAGGCCCTGCAGCGGCCGCACGGGGTTGAGCGGGCGCAGTCCTCGTGCGGGGAGAGCGGGCCAGCCCGGCGCCCGGCGCGGGTGAGGCGCCCCCTCCCCCGTGCCCCCGGAGCCCCGTGCCCGGCCCCGCCAGCGCTCCCTCACGCTCCCGCTCCCGCCGCCCCTGCTGCCCGGGCGGCTCCCTCCCCGCAGAGGAAGGCAAGGTCTACAGCCTGGCGGTGAACGAGACGCAGCTGGACCAGCCCCGCTCCTACACGGTGCAGCTGGCGCTGCGCAAGGTCTCCAGGTGCCTCCCACACGCCTCCGTCCGCAGCGTGCGCTCCAACCAGAGCAGCGCCGCCTACCTCACAGGTGCGTCCCGGGGGCGGCCAGCATATCCCCCGGGGGGCAGCGCCTCAAGGGGGCCGAGGCGGCGGGGTCTCTGTGGGCCGGCAGGGCGGGGCAGGAAGGGAGGCCGCGTGGCGAGGGCCGCGCGCGGGGAGCGGGAGTCTCCCCCGGGGTCCCCTCCATCCCACTCAGGGCCGGGTGCGCCCCCGTGGGACCCCCTCCGCCCTTCCGAGGGCCCTCGTGTCAGCCGTGGCCCTGTCCCCCCCCCCGCAGACGAGGGCACCGTCTACTTCGAGGTGCACTCCCCCGGCGTGTACCGTGACCTCTTTGGGACCCTCCACGCGTTCGACCCGCTGGACCAGCAGATGCCCCTGGCCCTTTCCCTCCCGGCCAAGGTAATGCGGAGCGGGCCCTCTTCGCTCGCCGCGAGGAAGGGGCCTCGGGCACCGGGGGGCCCCTGCGGGGGCAAGGCCGGGGGAGCCGATGGGGAACGGGCAGGGAGCGGCTTCTGACGCCAGACCGCGGGTGCCAGCGCCCCCTGCGGGCAGAACGCGAGTCCCGGGAGGGCCGGGACCAGCATGGGGACGGCCTGGAAGGTTCGGGCCACGGCCTTCTGCTCTGCTGCCCAGGCAAAGAGAAAGATGCCCTCCGTGTACGCTCAGAAGCCCCTTGCTAGCAATGATTCCAAGGAGCAATTCCCGGCGCTGAGGACAGTGACCGGAGCCGAGCACCCACCGGCCATGGCTCCCTGCTGCGCCCCAGCCCCCCACCCCGCTTGGCCCGGCCCCTCAGCCCCCGCCTTGCTCCCTCGCCAGGTGCTCAGCTGCGCCCTGGGCTACAACCACCTGGGGCTCGTGGACGAGTTCGGGCGGGTCTTCATGCAAGGCAGCAACCGCTACGGCCAGCTGGGCACGGGGGACAAGATGGACCGCGGGGAGCCTGCCCAGGTGAGGCAGGGGGGCGGTTCTAACGCGCCAGCCCCCACACGCACCTGGCCAGCTGCCCCACGCCTGGGTGCGGAGTCCACCCGTTGCGGCCCGCCTCTCCCTACCGCTGTGGGGGACGTCCGGCGGCGCGCATCCCCGGGTCGCTCGGTCCCTGGGGCCTGGCAGCAGGCGCGCCTTGGATCGGGGCCGCGCCGGCCGTCCTCCGACACGCTCCCTCCCCCGCAGGTGCGCTACCTGAAGGGCCCCACGGACCTCTGGTGCGGCCTCAACCACACGCTGGTGCTGAGCCAGGGGGCGGACTGCGGCAAGGACCTGCTGGGCTGCGGCTGCGGCGCCGGAGGCCGCCTGCCAGGCTGGCCCAAGGGCAGCGCCTCGTTTGTGCGGCTGCACATCAAGGTGAAGGGGTCCCCGTGGGCTGCCGCTGGCGCAGCCTGCGGGCACGGCCGGGGCGGCCTGGGCCCCTCGGCCCGGCTCCCGGGCCCCTCCGTGGAGACCGAGCGGACCGCTCCCCCCGCAGGTCCCGCCGTGCGCCCGCCGCATCTGCTCCACCCGCGAGTGCCTGTACCTGTTGTCCAGCCACGACATCGAGGAGGCGCCCGCCTACCGGGAGCTGCCGGCCAGCAAGGCCGGGGCGCCACCGAGCGACGCGGCAGCCGTGGCCGCCCGGGCGTGCGAGGAGTGCCTGAGCCAGCTGCACCAGTGCCGGACCCTGGAGGGGCGGATGGCGAAGGTGAAGGAGGCCGTCGGCCGGATGGCACTCATGGCGTTCCAGAAGGACTTCTTCTGGGAGGCCCTGGACATGATCCAGCGGGCTGCTGAGCTCCGAGAAGCCCCCGTGTCCCGCTAGCTCCCGGGCCGAGCCCCCCCCAGCGCCCCCCCCATTCGCATCATGGATCGTGATTAACTGAGAGACTTTCCCGCTGAACAATCGGGAGTAAATAAACCACAAGCAGAGACCTCGCCCGGCCTGCTGTGACCTGTGCAGGGTAAGTGACGAGCCCCCCGGGCGCCGGAGGGCCTTGCCCAGACGGGGCTGCCTGGCTCCCTGCTCCCCCCCAGGCCTGTCTCGCTCGCCTGCTGGAGAACGGCGGGGCCAAGCGTGGCCTCCCCTGCTCGCAGGAGGGCAGGGGCTGGAGGGAGGGCGGCCCCGGCGCGCGGGGCACACGGGCCTGGCCACCTCCTCCACCGCAGCACCGGGCCGCCCGCGCTCTCCCGGCCTCGGTGGGCCGCCATCCCGCCAAGGCCAGGGGACTGGAGCAGGCAGGGCCGGAGGAGCGGTCCTCGCAGGGCCGAGTCCTCGGGCTCTGGGGGGCGACCAGGAGGCGGCCGGGATGAGGCCACGGACTGGATGGCACACGCGGCCGGCAGAGCTGGAGGGGGCCCGAGCGTCCCACGCACACCCTGGCAGCGTGGCCCGGGCCCTCGGCAGGGCTTCCCGTGCCAGGAAGGGAAACGGAGAGGGGGTCGTGCCCGCGGGACGGAGTTCTGGTCCGCCCCGTGGCCCAGTCTCAGCCGGCGCTGGCGCACCGGGCCAGCCCCAGAGCCGCCTGCTTCTTCCTCTTCCTCTTTCTCTTCTCTCAAGGACCTGGTGTGGGGGCCCTGCCCTCGGCTGGGGGGCACGGGCGGCAGGGGGCTGCTTGGCCACGCTGGGCACGCAGTGCTGGGGCAGGAAGGGCCCCGCGGGTCTCACCCGGTACAGCCCTCCCGTCCCTATCGGTGTGCAGACCCCCCAAGACCCGCCCGGCAGGATGCGCTGGGCCGGAGCGGCGCCTCCGCACTCCGGCTCCAGGGGTCCTTGCCCAGGCGGGGGCCGGCGTGCGAGGCGCAGGCTCCCTCCGAGCCGGAGATCTGCCGTGGGGCAGCCCCCGCCTGTGACGGCCTTGGAGCTGACCCACACCCACCGAGTGCCGGGCCGGCTCCGAAGCACAGCGGCAGCGCGGCCTCGGTGGTCTCCGCTCGCCAGCCGCACCTGGGTGGGCTCGTGCCGGGCAGCCCCGTGCTTGCGCGGGCCCACACCGCACCCCACTGCACCGCCGGGGGCCACACTGCGCCGTGCAGAGTCGGGCCAGGCCGCCCTCAGCCCGGCCGGGCGGCCGCTGCTCTCCAGGCACGACTCCCCTGCCCGCTGCTCTTTCGGGGGGCAGGGGGGCTGGCTCGGCTGGGCTCGCCCGAAGCCTCGCCAGAGCCCTGGGATCGTCTCGTGAGCCCACTGGGCTTCCTCTGCCTTCCGCCTGCCCCGTTTGCCCAGGCTGTGGGGCTCCAGCGCTCACGGCCCCCCCGACCCAGACCGTGGCCCCCGAGAGGAGCGCTGCCGCCCCGTGGCAAGGCTGCCGTGCTGGAAAGAGCCGCGCAGGTGGACCCCCCCATGAGGAGGGCGTGGACCTGCAGCCTCGGCAAAGGGGCGCTTCCTTCCCATGTGCCCCTCGATTTGGGGGGCTCGAGTCAGCCAAGCTGCCAAAGCTTCGCCCCCACACCCGCTGCCATCCAGTTGTGCTGTCAGCCCCGGCGCCTCGTGGAGAAGGAGCTCGTCCCCGGGCACCCGGACCCGGCTCGCGCAGAATGGACCTGGCTCGCTTCCCTCGGGCTTGTGCTGTCCGGACCCATCTCTGCAGGCAAACCGTGGCCCGCCGCCCAGCTCGCACTCCGCAAATAAACAACGGTTTCCCAAGCCCGGCATGCGTGTCGCGTGGTTCGTGCCCAGAACCGTGGCTTCCCCTTGCCATCTCCGCCCTGAAACGGGCGTCCAGCAAGAGTCATCGAGGGTCACAGAAGCGCAGAGCTGGAAGGGGCCCGGAGCCCCTCGGGTCCAGCCGCCTGCGCTTGCGGGACACCAGCTCACACCGCCCCACGCAGAGGGCCGCCCAGAACATGGAACCACCCCGCCGGCCGGCCGAACGGGTTCAGGGACTGCTCTGAAGGCAGAGAAACGGGACGGGAACAGGCAAAGCGCGCCGCTTGTCTGCAAGGGCTCGAGCGGCACGCGGCCTCACCGTGGACCGTGGCTCGGCTCCGTGCCAGCGCGGCCCGGTGCGTGGCGGGGTGCCCCCCTCTGTGGAGCCGAGCACTTCCCTGCTCTTTGGTAACTGCAGCCAGCCCCACCGGTTCGGGGTGAGGTAGCAGAGCTGGTGGGTCTGAGAGCGCCCGAGCCCCCCCAGGACTCTCGGGTGGGGCCCAAGGCAGCCCTCGTGCCCGAACGTCTTCTGCACGGTTTCCACGCACTCACAGGGAGTCCCTCCTCTTGCCCTCCGCCCGGCACAGCCTTCCCAGACCAAGCGCGCTCCCGCCCCCCCAGAGCCCTGGCCAGTCCTCCGCTTTGCCTTCCCCCCGGAGGCCTGGACAAGCCCCCCCGCCCCCCCCATCCTCAAGGGCCTGTGGAAGAGGGTCCCACTGGCTGTGCGGGCACCGTCACTCGGCTCGGCTCGGCTCAGCTGGCCTGCCCGCCCTGGCAGCTGCGCCCGCTGGCCCAGGCAGGAAGCCCCGGGGGGGCCGGCTCCCCCACCTCCCGCCTCCGGGACAGGGACTGCAGCGGAGGGGCGGCAGCCGGGCTGGGGCTGCCCTGTCAGCGAGGAGGAGGACGGGGGGCATGGGCAGGGGGCAGGCCGTCCGCTCTGCTTGGCCCACCGGGGGGAGGGGGCTCCTGAGCTGCAGCGGGGGAGGCCGAGCGGGGCCCTGGGACGGGGGGAGGGGGGTGCACGGGGGGGGGCTGCCGGGCTCCATGCAGGCCAGGGGGGGCCGTGGGGGGGCCTCGCTTTGCGGTTGCTGCCCAGCTGCAGAGGGGCTCTGCACAGACGGGCCAGTTGGCGGCGGCGGCTGCTCTTCCGCTCGGGGCAGAAGCAAAGCACGGGCCAGCGCTCAGCCGGCTTTAGGGACCCCGACAGTTCCCCTTGGACTCCGAAGCCAGATGCCCCGGGGCAACCGAAGGTGGCCAGGGAGCCTGGTGGGAGCCGGGGTCGTGCACAGCCGCCGGGGAGCCCCCTGGGCCCGCTCTCCTTCCAGCCCCGCCGTGCCGGCTGGGCTTCCCCGGGGCCCGGGCCCTGTGGCGGGGGGGGCTGCGTGTCTGCGGGACCTGGGCCACCCACGCCGGAAAGCCTCGGAGGGGGGGTTCGGGGGGGCTCCTTGCCCCCCCCCCCCCCCGCCACGCTTGGACTGAGCACGGGCTGCCTGCCTCGCTTCCTCCGCTCGCTCCACACAGCGCTGCGATGCGGTTCAGGGCAGCTTGGAGGGTTGGGGGGGCGGGGGAGGCCCTTCCTGGGCTGCAGTGACCCCCACCGGAAGGGGCCACCTGACCGCAAGGCTGACGGGAGAGCCACTTTTCCACTGGAGCTATTTTTACCGCGGCTGCTGCTGCTCCCCTCCCCACCAAGAAACAAAACCAAACCAAACCTCCCCCGTGGTTGTGCTCCCAGCGCAACAGCGCCAAGCGTGCCTGTGTATATTTAGGCCAAGCCGACCCTCTTCCAGGCCGAGTGCCGGGACTTCCAGGGGGGACGTGCCCAGGGGAAGCTGGCCAAGACGGGGCTGGGCCGGGTGTGAGGGGGGCATACTCGCATTGGGGTCTTCCGATCGCCCGGCAGGGGTGTCTCCCCACCCAGGCGGCCGAGGCAGCCAGACCCGGCTCCCCACACGTCCGGAGCAGCACAATGCCACAGGCGTCCCCAGCCAGAGCAGGCTCCTCTCCTCCCCGGCGTGTCAGGCACTCGCCCCCTCCTGTAGGATCCCGGCATCCCCCCGGTTCCCAAACAGCCCCCTGCAGAGAAAGGCAAGGCTTCCACCTTCCTACCATCCCCAACACCCAGCCCAAACGGAAAGCGCTGCCCACGGCCTTCCCCGCTCCGGTCAGCAATTTGCCGGAAAAAGGAAGCCCCCTGCCCTTCCAGCCGCAGCCCAGATGGCCGCACCTCAGAGACCCCGGCTGCCCGCCTGCCTTCTCTGGTCAGCGCTGGAGAGGTGGGGGTGGGGAGTGCCACCTCCAGAGCCGCGTTTGGGGTCAAGGCATGCCCTTTATTTCCACGTTCTCCATCTCCCAACATGCCCTCCTGCCCACCAAGTCCGGTCCAGTCCAGTCCAGTGTGAGTGGTCAGCGCTGCTCGTCTGTCGCGCACGTGGCGGGCCGAGCGCCCTCCCGGTGCCACCTCAGCACCACTCCGCGAGTGCGGGACCCCGAAGTCCGCCTCCCCGGCACTTCAGTCCTCCTTCCCGGGCCCGCTGCGCTGGTGGCTGGAGTACGCCCGCAGCCCAAACCAGCCGATGACGCCGCCGAGCAGTGCCAGCAAGAGCAGCATCACGCCGAAGGTGGAGAGGAACGTGGGCGCCCGGGGCAGAGGAGGGGGCCCGGCCCCCAGCTCCTGGATCTCCCCGCGGATCATGAACAGCTCGTCCAGGATGCTCATGAAGGTGCAGCAGTGGAACCACTGGTGGCTGTGGCCCCAGATGTCGAACTTGCCCGGGCTGAGGCGCTCCGGGATCTTGCTGACGTTGAAGATGCCCGAGGCCAGCAGCCAGAAGCAGTGGCGCAGGAAGAAGCGGCCGGTCCCCTGCCCGCCGCCGGCCCACCACAGCTTGCGGAAGACCGGGATGGAGACCACCACGAAGGGCAGCAGGAAGACCAGGGTGCGGATGAGGTAGCGGTGGCGTGGCCACTGGCGGCGGGTGCTGCAGCAGGCGAGCGTGCAGAAGAGGGCGATCAGGCAGGCCGCGGGCACATACAGGGCCTCGAACCAGCCGCCTGCGTGGCCCGCCACGGCAGAGCGCCAGCCTGCCCCCTCGCCGCCGCCCCCGCGCCCCAGGCTGGAGGAGAGGTTGGCGGAGGCCGGGGCCGCTGGCGGGGCCCCTCCGGGGTGGATGTAGTAGAAGTAGGCCAGGGAGGAGCCGACGGTGTAGGCGCTGATGGTGCCGTAGTCGATGAAGAAGCAGATCTCGCGGATCACCAGCGACATGGAGTTGAAGAGATGCGCCATGCTGCTCGCCACCAGCAGCCCGCAGACCCCGAGGAAGTAGCTCCAGAGCGGGTAGTAGAAGGGGTCCAGCGGCCCCGGGCGGGCCTGGCCGTCGCCCCAGAAGGGCTGCAGAAAGTGGAAGGCGAACACAAAGACGGCCAGGAAGTGTGTCCAGAAGTTGCCCGTCTCGTTGGTGGGCCGGAAGGCCGACAGCAGGCACTGGGCGACGGTGTAGCCGGGGCGGCGGTAGCCACTCAGGATGAAGCTTTCGGCCATGCTGGGCGGCACCTCGGACGCGCGCAGGAGCAGCCCACCCGCCCGGTGGGGCGCCCAGCGCACCCTGCCGCCCGCGCCCATGGCAGCCCCGCTCTCCCCCTCCGGGGGCAGCTGAGGGCACGCGTGCAGCAGAGCCGGGCCTGGCGGGCGCCTCCTCGCCGGCCGCTCGCGCGGCGGACGGAGAGCGAGAGACGGCGCCCCAGGCTCACGGGCGCGCCCCGCGGACCAGGAAGCCGGGCTCCCCCGGATCCGGCCGTGCTGCTGCTGGCCGGGCAGGCCGACGATCCGCCGGGAGACAGCGGAGCCTGCTGGGGAGGGGGCGGCCGGCCTGAGCCCGA